TAGACAAAACTGAGCATTTTGCGATTGGTAGTTGGAAAGTGTACTCTAGATTGTTTGCTACTTTTAAGGGTCGGTTCAGAAATATAAAAAATGCGGTGTGCAGTCATTTCATTTGTATTAAAACTTACATATCATCCGCGGCACCACAAACCGCATATTCGTCGTAAATAACAGGAAAGTAACATTTGGTCATTGTTTGAACTTCCGTCTCGTGAATCGTAATGTATTATTTCTGCAAGGATATATTTTCAGCTAACACTATACTTTATTGTACAACTGGCAACTGTGGTAGTCTGCTAAATAAATACATTTTCGATACTTTTAATTTTTAAGTCTGTTCAACCTGCTGCAAAGCATATGGTAATTATAAAAAGGATTTATAAAAAAATTATTAAATGTGACTAAAGACTAAATAAACTATATTTAATCACATTTAGCAGACAGAAAAAAGCACACCAGGCAGTGATTTCCACTGACGTCACGCAAATCGACGCAAGATCCTACCTTGTATTCATTGCATAATGGATTTGATACTTTGATGGATTTGATACTGAACGAAATTATAATCTCAGAAAAAGACGGGTGTGTGGTGGTGATCTTGTGTGTGGATGTGAATTCCAGCACGTTTTTAGTTCAGTGGCTGTTGCTGAAATTCATGCTAATTTCATCGTTAGTGATTTATACAATTAGTTCCCGCAGTAAAGATTTGGATTATCGGAGTTTTAATAGTCATGGATCTTGTTTGTTTTTTATTGTTTTCTGCTTTCTAAAATAATGAACAGATATATTTAAATGCGGAAATCTTTACCCTTCAGTCTGGTACGCGGATTGCCGCTTTGCCGATTAAGAGACAATGCTCACCTTATAGTAAATCTTGTAACAAACAACATTTTTCCTATACATTTTCCAACCTAATGCCGTTTTCCGTCTAAAATTCACCAATTTCCAAAACAAAACAACGGTCGCCATGATGTTTGGGCTCTTTGCGCCGGCGTGCCAGTCGCAATTTTTCGCGTAGTTGCTTTTACTATATTATCACTTTCTTAACATTACCACTTTTTTCACCTTTCAATGTAAACAAATCATTGAATATATTTAACTATTTAATATAAAATAGATAGCAATTAGTAATACCCAGATGATAGAGTTTCATTACATTTCCGATTCTCATCATAATTCCAATAAACCGATTAAGAACTCACACGCATCTATTGACATCCATAGAGAAACAAAAGCTGAAAATACTTTATTTAATTTTTCTTGCATGCATACACAATTCATTTGATATTTCAATCCGCTGGCTGCATTCAGCTGGGCCCCGGCTATATTAAGTGCACAATCATATGTATGAGTATGATCAATGTCGTCTACTAATCCCTGTATGGACGCAATTCTGCTACCTTTTGAACCTTGAATGAATTGGTTTCATTGTGATTTTCTACTTTGGTGCCAGTTCGGCAACATGGCTGACAAGTATGCCATGTTCCGCTGCGCGTACCATCCGTACGGGCATGTGCGCGTGTCACAGCAGACTGTACGCTAATGGATTACCATTTTTTAATGGATTACCATTCAACGACTTTTTCTGAAGTTAAGCGTCGCTATTCGAGCAAGGCCAGGCGGTTAAAAACGAAGTATAGCGACAACATGGCAGTGCACAAGCGCCATCAGGCAGGACTGGTGTGGATGGTTAAGAAATAAATTTATGCTGTTTTTTATTTTTGTAAGTGTTATAGGGTATCTGTAGAAGTGCTTTAAAATTACCGATAATTTTGCATGAAAGCTTTTTGTCTAAAAACTGCATGAGTTTATTTTCATATTGTGGCGACATGGCTTTTTGGTTTCAATATGAAAATAAACAAATGCAGTTTTTACAAGACAACTAGCTCGAATGCAAAATTATCTGTTTATTTTGATGCAAAAGTGTAGTGTTGATGAATATATCCTGAGTAAACAAAGTAAATGTAGATTAATTTTATAGTACTTACATTTTTATTACTTAAATACAACAATGGCAATTATTGTATTTAAATGTTTTTTTCTTGTTGAATATTTTTTTATAGTTCCTGTTAGTTTGTAGGAAACAACGGTGTTTGTTGCTTTCTTTAGGATCCCAATATGATTAAACTGTTCATTTGCTCTCTGCGCGATTGTGGCATGCATGCAGGAGAAATAAAGATTGAGGATGAGTCTGGTAATGGAAGGCGCATTTGCCATGTCCAAGATTTGAAGTCATGTACTCGGATGTATACTGATGTCGCGAGTGGCAATTTTTGGTTAGATTTTGCGAATGTATGTAGGTTTTTTTCTTCTTGTTGATAGAAAGACATTGGGCTCCTTCAGCCGACACAACTGTTGAGTACGGTTTCTTGTTGAGTCAGCTGAACGACGCCTAATAGAAATTGGTTACTATCAACGTTGGTCAACATCGGCACCAGAAAATTTGYATGGTGGAAGTTGGTTGATCGTTGGTTGCTTCATGATTATAACCACAATTCAGCATTACAGAATATATCCGTTTTCTTGTTATGTTGCATTACAGAGTGAGATAATGTTCTTTGGACTGTGTATGTATGGTGCTATCACTGCACATACGTCACTCATATTTGTCCGAGATATTCTAAAATTGCTTTTAAACTCACACAATGAAGATTTCCCCACTGTTTGAACCAGAAAATTTTCATTATAAACCGTCTTGTTTCTATGGGAAACATATATCGATGGTGCTGCCA